CCCCCGAAGATGATCACACGCTGCGCGTGTTGATGTTGAAGGCGGAGGAGTGGAAAGTGTTAGACAGAATCTATTCCGAGATGAAGAGTGGACGTGACCCATGGCAACAATGATGGTCCTAACAATGAGGCCACTGTTTAATCGCTCCGCAGCCTACAGGACAGTCACATGTGTGGAGGAAAAGAAACGTGCGCACTAACGGCCAGATTTTGCTTAAAACGTTTTCATACGTTTTCCAACTCAGCCGGACTCAGATCGTGATTGACTACTGGCCGAGGTGGGTGCACCCCGTTACGTTTGTCCACGACTCGGCTTGCCTGTTCCTTGCCACCGTGCGTGACAATCTCTTTCTTGAGGTGGAATGTGACCAGCGATGCCAAAAGGTTTTGGCAGCGCGAATGGCGGAAGGGTTGCTGCCCTCTGCAAACTTGGTGGCAGACGTCCGTGGTTTTTCTGGGAAGGGCTCACCGGCAGTGGGTTTGACTGCCGGCTTTCCTTGCCAGGCACTTGATTGTTGCGTGTCAAAAGTATGCCAAGTCAATTTGACTGCAGCCCCTGAGTCAAAGCGTCTTTGCTTACTGCCCTCCCTTTTTTCAAACATGTTGGCAGGGAGTTTCAGCAGCTGGCCGACAGGAAGGCTTATCAGATTCCAGGAGTGGACTCATTCAATGCGTGTTCGAAGTCTTTGACACACTTGACAACCCGTGCTGCCCTAAGAGAAATGTATACCTTGTGCACAGTTCAAAACTAACGCAACATGGTTGGTGGTGATCATTGTGCCCTTGGAAGACTTCATAAGGTTGTTTCTTTTCTTGGAGAACGTATTGGCTTTGCTCAGCTGTCAAACTGAATGCCGCCGACTCATCAAGTACGTGATCAAGGCTGCCTGAGCAGTGTTGACTTGTTTGTTTCGGTGCATTGTCAGGGATAGGCAGCGCGTAACAAGCGCAAGTGGTTGTGTAGGTTCGCGTTTGATCGCTCAGAGTTTTTGGCAGGAGGCAGCGAAACGAGGATTGAGAACCTTCTGGGCCAGCGTGCGTCTCTTCAACGTTGGTTTAGCCGTTGGATTCTCAGTTAGTTTATTTGTTTTTGAAAGTCAAGTCAAGCCTGTATCTTCGAGGCCAACCGTGGCCGAGTGTTCCTGCTATGCGCGCGCCCTGGCGCACTGGCGCACGTTTGTGGGAGGACATTCATGCGCAAGACATGTGTTTTTTAAAATTTGTCTTTGGAACGGGACCGCAAATCAACGTGCCACGTCTCTCTGTGGTTCATGATGGAAGAAGCCCTTGCACGGCAGGACCATTGCCTCCTTCCGCCCGACCAGCATTGTGTTAGCTCATGGAACCCAGGAGCCAAACCTCCGCTCCACAAGTGGTTGGCCCATTCCCAGGATGATGGCGACCGAGCCCGGTTGAAGGCAATGGGCAATTGTGTGGTGCCCGCGCAAGCCCGCCTAGGCTTCGAGCTATTGCTTGAACTTCGCAGGGCAGGGGTCAATTTGTGAGACATCTTTTTGCCTTAGAAATCCAATGGCTAATTCAACCCTGTCTGCAATGTGAAGCCGCGTTTGCAACTTGAGAGAGGAGAACGGAAATTTATTTGCACAGTTGTCATTGCTGCATGATCGTGATTCAGTACTTCGGTAGCTGCAGTGGAAATCAGTTCAGGATAATACTCAGAAGTTGCAGTTCGCTTCGCTCGATTTGCTCAAGCCGATTTTGATATTGGAAGACTTGCTTTGAGAGTGATGGGCAAATCGGGGTCTACTGCTGCCAAGCGTTCTGCGGCTAGAGGACCTGTGTTTGTTGTCAAATGATCAACGAAAGTTCATCGGTCTTGTTCTGATGGTCTGGCAATTTTTCCTCTTGGGTTGGCCAAGGACGGGGCCATGATGCAAGAAATGATGGCTCCAAATCGGTCCAAAAAAGGTCTTAAATTTAAGACCTTTTTTGGACCGATTTGGACCGAGCATTTCTTGCATCATGGCCCCGTCCTTGGCCAACAAAATGACCAAGATAGTCCCTTTTGACCTCAAGTTTGATTGCTTGGGAACGCGCAAGGATCTGCAAGGCAGCCCGACCGAGACTTTCATGTTCTTCCCGGCGCAGCCCTGGAGGCTCGATCTAATTGCTTGCGCCTAGTGTGCAACGAGTACACGTTGAAAAACCAATAATTGTAGATGTTGCAAAGGTTTACATCTTCAGACTGGTTGCCAGGAGGTGACCCAAGCAATCCCCGACGATGAGGACAAGATTATCATTGGGTTCCATGAGCTGCAGCAAGGCGCCGTTCTCAATTGAAACAGGTTTGAAGCCTGCACTCCTTGGATTTTCAATCTGTGAGTATAAGAGGGCCCACCTAGAATCTCCATGGGTTCTGTTTACAGCAAACTTCAGACCTGTTCTGCGCAAACATGAGACAGTACACGTGGTAAGTATTACTATGGATCATCTCATAGGAACACATTTTTGGCAAACCTTGTTATTGTTGCGTCAGGCGCAATTGATCTTCCAGAAGGTCCTGCAGTCAAGTGCGCGTTCTTGACAGGGGGCGATGCTTCTGCTTTCAAGGTGGCGAATCTAGGTGGACTAAGTTTAAGACAGTAGAACTAAATGGATGAGCGGTCAACTCTTTACGTTTACAAAGCTCACCAACCTAGATCTGTGAAGGGGTTGAAGACCAAGAGAAGGTGAATGAACTTGAACGAAGTATGCCAGTCTTGCTGCGGAATGCTCTTTGGATGTCGACTGTTTGACGGCCCTAAGGATGCTCTTTCGCAATGTGTCATCTTGGCCGGAAGTGGCCAAAGCAGAGGTTTTCCCCTCGGAGCAGAACCCGGTGATTTTTTCATGCCGGAAGTTCTACACATCCGGCGATTACCTTGTGCTGATTCCATCAAAGGACATGGGACTTGGCGACCCGCCCATGCCAAGCCAAGGCCTGACCCAATCATTGGGTGTTGCTGTCATTAAGATTAATATTCCGCAGTACGTCTCCCTTGTCCGCGGGGAAAAGGCACTCCACCATCAAGGTTCCTTGGTTTTGCGATGGTTTCTGAAACGTCGAACTGTGGAATGTTGTAAGACAGGTTCTTGTTTTGCCATTGTGTTGGGTCATCTTCATAATTGGTTGAATCAAGAAAGGTTGAGAGGCCACAAAACAAAATAAGAATCCTTACCATCTACTATCTACATCATTTGTTTGGTGCCAGGAATTCTCGTAGAGCGCCCAAGTTAAAGCGTTTGTCCATTTGGTTTCGGCAATGAAAAACCCGCCAAAGTCACCCATAATGGAAGGGTGCTGGGTGACTTGGGGGCCCTCGTTGGCGCGAGGCTTTTGTGATTGTGTGACAGACGCAGCCACGATCCTTGCAAAGCTGGAGTGATTACGTGTTTATGATGTAGTGGCTGACTCACCGTAGGCTTTCTGCGGTGTTTCACTTTTTGAAACCTATATCGGCATGCTTCTGTTGCAAAAGACAAGCAAACGATTGACCCGTATGGTGAACTGCGTTGAATGAAACGTTGAGTTGAGAGGGTATCGTGTTTTATGGTGTCTTTGTCCGCTTGGCCTCAAGCAACCACAACACCAAAGGCTTTGAGTTTTCTTTGTAACTGCTTGGTGGCGCCTGATAGCTGATGGTCAAAACGGTTTAATCCTAACCCCTTGCTACTTCTATATAGACGTCATGCCGCGCGGGAGTCAGCTGCAAAATGCCGGCAAACGAGCTCGTGGATTGCCTCACTGGTTCAGAGTCTGATGATTCTGAAGGGCATAGCAGCCACGTGGCCCTGGCGGTTTCCAAGAAACGGAATCGGGTCACTCGTGAAGCCGGTCCTGCTTTAGACAAGACCAGCGAGGCATTTCTTAGATTTTTGGTTCGGGGTGATTGCAAATGCAAGAAGAAGGATTGCCTGCGGCAGTTCAGCGCAGCTGACAGCTTTACGAAACTGTTCGAGTACCGAAAGCATTGGTTTGAGCTCGAGAAGGTTGACCAAGACAATTTCGCTTCTTGATCGGAACTTAACTTTTAATTTGAAGTGTTTGTCCCGCGCTCTGTTTGTGGTGCGTGGACCTTACTAGTTGGCGGCGGCCCTGAGGCTTTGGACAGGATGAAACTTCTAGCGCGAAACCTTTCTGAAGGGCAAACAATCAGTTGGAGCTTGTTGGGGTTGAATTTGTGCCGAAGGGCATGGAAAGCTTTGCACAATATGGGTGACTTGTCTATATATGAAATCATTATTAAGTGTGACAAGAAAGAAAAGTCCTGAAGGTGTCCGGAAAACCCATTTTTTAGATAAAAAAACATGGATTTTTCGGACACCTCTCCAAATGTAAAAATACTCAGCTCTTATTATACTGAAACCAAGTAGAAAATTGCCTGGGTCCTGCCACTAGTTGCTCTACCTATGAGCCAGTGATGAGGCGATGAGCGGTGCCAGAAGCTTTTGGACGCAGCCTTGGAGGGCGCCGTTTCCGCCCCAGTCGACTTGAGGTACTTGTCGAGACCATCCTCGGATGAGTTAGGAGGTAGGAATGCGCATAGCCGAGCAGATATCGTCTCCTACCTCAGCACTCTCTACGAATCCGTCGCGGAGGTGCTCCCTGATTGTAGGGACACAGCGTTTGACGACGTTGACAGACTGTCTGATGCGTATTCCATCAAGTTGAATTTGATCGCTGCTTCGGAACCTTCTTCTGCAGAGCCCTCGATGTCCAACGCTTGTGCAGGGCCATCGATGACCAGCGTTGGGAGGATGCCTAGGAAGAAGAAAAGGGGGGTCGTCATGAACCCTGATAGACCAGCCAGGGAAATCAGAAAGCTGCCTCCAGGGGCCATGAAAGAGTATTATGAACAATACCGACTGGTTTGCAGCGTTGACCCAATACCGTCACTTTTTGGCGTGTTGCTTGACTACATTTCTTCATGACCCCAATGGCAATTTTCCGCCTCAGACTCAAACCATGAAGCAAAAGCTGTTTTCATGGTCGAGTCTGAGCGGAAAATTTGCAGATCCCAACCTTGGAGCCACTCCACTTAGACTTAGCCGAGCCAGTCAGTGCACTTTGGTATTCCAAGGTTTGGCTTGGCGAGTTCCCAGAGCTTCAGTTCCGGGAGCGGACGAGCCATGCTCAGTGCATGGTTTGCATCCGCCACCGATCTATGATCAAGGGCCTGAGTGCTCGCATAGCCGCTCGAAAGGAACAGGCCAGACTGTTCCACGAGCACTTGAAAGCCCAATATCAGGACCGACTACTTTACTGGCGGTCTCGTGGCCTGTCACGCCATCGCGGCGACTCCGTCACATTAATTTGTGACGGAATGGACCAAGCGAAGTGGGAACTGCCGCGTGACCCTATCTTAGTTGGAAAAGACTTTGCGACGATGCAAAAGCCAAGGCTCCACGTGAGCCTTTGCATCGCACAGGGTTGGTTTTACCTTTTCTTGGTGTCGTCGCCAGACATCAAGAAGGATGGGAATGCTTCAGTGGAGCTGCTCAGCTGCGCCCTCACTCTTTTGGAGAAGCGTGGCTTGAATTTGGCGGCTACAGATGTTTTCTTGCAACATGACAATACTTGCAGAGAGTTCAAAAACAACAATGGACTCCGCTGGGGATGCAGCCAAGTTTCCTGCAAGAATATCAAGACCTTGACCTGTTCTTATTTGAGAACGGGTCATACGCGTGAGGATATCGACCAGACTTTCGGTGCCCTGTCTTCTTACTTGAACCGTGTCCGTCGATTGCAAACTCCTGAAGATGTTGTCCAGACCATCAAACAGTTCTGCGCGAAACGCAAATTCCCTTTTGAATCTGAGCAGCACGTGTTTGCCATGGAGGCAGTCAGGGAGTGGACTCTTGGCCAAGAATTGGTCACTCCGATCAATGTGTGTCATTGAAGCTAACAATATGTGTCAATGGAAACTTTGTTTGCGCTGCCTGATTTGAAGGACTGGCTTCCTTGCAGAGGCGTTGCCTTTCAATTTGAAAGGAGTTGGTGGTGGTGGTGGTGGTGGTGCGCCGCATGTCTTTCAGATGCAGCGCCGGGCTGACACAGGCCGGCCTTTGCAAAACGGCAACGCAAACAAACAATGCTTTGGACTGGAAGAGATGACGCGTGTATGTTTCATTGCCTTCCCTCTACCCTGCACTCTAGGTTCCCAAATCACAGCGACAATTAGAAACGCTGTCCAGTTCAAAAAATTGACCCGTTTCGCACAAAGAAATTGGGAGCGTTCAGGCTTGAAGAGCGACGAGATTCCAAATCCTTTGTGGGGCTACCCCGAGCACCCAGACGACGTTGTGTTGAGGCTCGTGTTTGTGGCTTGTTTGGTTACAACTATGTACAGTTTTTGTGTTGCGTGTGCCTTCGGAGCCTACAAGCCCAGTTGCACCGCGCAGGACGAAGCAGTTCATGGCCAGCCCAGACTTCAATTTCACCACCTTGCTTTACCCAAAAGCATTGGCGATGGAGCGGCTACGGGTTGGCTGGCCTGCAGGAGACCAGCGCCCTCATTGTTGTTTCGGGGCGTGTTTAGGTTTTCAAATCTGCAGCGAGAACTATGGCTATTAAGTAATTGTCAAGTTGTGGCGCTTGTGTTCCTTGTCGAAAGCTCACAGCAAGTTTCTCACAAAGGTAGAATAGGCGCAAACACTCTGGCGTTTGTAGATGGACAAACCATGACAAATTGCCTGTAGAGGTAGGGCCCAAGGTGCTCTCACTAGGCCAACCAGGAGAAAGTCATTAAATGTCCAAGCAAGCCCACGGATTTAGCTGGGTAGCCTCGATCGTGTTTTTGGATCTTTCCTGAGCTTGTTGGGGGCCTTTTCTCATAGCCAGATCCAAGTGGAAATGTTGCGCGCAAGAAGGTCAATCAAAGCCCCCCTTTGCCCACCCAACTTGAATTTGTATTTGTTTAAGAAAGGATTTTGGGGTCAAGCCAAAGAGTTGTGGTGTGTTGTAAGCGCATCCTATTTTTTGTTTTGACCAGGTTTTTGAGTTTGCGCGATGCTGATTCCAAGCTTACATTATAGTACTTTTCTATCGGAATATGGAAGCCGACGTCCCAGAACAAGCTGTTCCGATATCGTGTCAAACACGAAAAGGGCGCTCATAAAATGGTAGAATACAAGCTCCACACGCGCCGTTTCTTCTTCAGCTTAAAACATAGGTCGAGCCGGATCGTGGTCATTGATATCCTTATAGCTAAAAGCTTGCGCTAGGAAAGCATGTGTCTGCAGGAAACTTTTTTGCGTTCGGTCGCTCGGTCAAGTACCCCTGCAGCATTGGCAAGCAAGCGGGAGCTTGGCCCAGATTACAAAAGCCACCTGTTGAAATATGCGCCGGCTTTGCGCACACCTCTCTTCCAGTTGGACCGCGCAGCAGACTGGTTGGAGTCCTGGCTTGGCGGAACACTTCCTGCCCCTGACCTTTTGGACGTCCACGCGCGGCTTGGCGCACGCACGCTTTCAAAGCCTTTGCGCGACACAGAACCAATGTTGTTGCGCCAAGCAAAGGATGGTGTGTTGGAATAGAGACTAGTTTTTCAGGTGCATGATCACAACGGGACCAAGACGTCCATCTTCCGACTCATTGGGGCTTGCGCCGGACGCCTTCCAAATTCCGCCCAACCCCATGCTGCTGCGGCTCCTTGTTTTCACTTCAGGTTGCAAGTTGGAAGCGGAACTGAGAAATAATAGAAGAACTTATTTGTGGGCGCATATATGTTCCATTTCGGTTGTGTGAGCAGTGGCTGTAGGCCGGTCACCGGAGATGAGAAGAAGGTGGTGAGAAACTACGTCGCGAAAGCCCGGCTCAGGATCATTCACGAAACTGCTGCTAAAGCATGGTCCATGGGTGTGCCCTGGGGAGAGGCGCTTGCAGTGGCCACCAAGGCAGTGGAAACTGCTGACGCTAGCGCGAAGCCTTTTGCTCGACGTGGAAAGGGCAAGGGCCGTGGAAAGGGTTGTCGCAAGTAGGGAAAAAGTTAGCTTTGAGCTTGGGTCTTCGTCGTGCAGTTTTCTCGGGTTTGGTGTGATTTCTCCCACCGTGTCCAACCTCTGAAGTCATCTGGCCCCCTCACTATAACCATTCATAACCTTTTGTTTCGGTATTTTAAGCCCTGACTACAACCGTTCTTTGTCGGTATCCTAAACCCTAAACGTTTCACTGCCAAGTAAATGGGGAGCGGCAGTGTAGTTTAGGGGGTATTCTAAAAAGTTGTCGTCGGAAAATCAGTCACTAACCCCCTCTTGTATGAAGCTGTTCACGAGTGTCTGTTTGCAGCTGGGATTGGTCACTGAACCATCACTTTGAGCAATCCTTACTAACTTTTGAACCCTGAGGGATTTGTGAAGTCAAAGAATACAAAGCGCTGAGTGTCCAAAACCACCTGTGATTGGACACTTTCGGCCCCTTCTCTCAACCCAGCCCTGAGTGTCGGATCCAGCTTCGTGGGATCAAGCAGTAGTGTCGGATCAGACCTGTGATCGGACACTTCCAGGGGGAAGGAAACGCCTAGATTCAAAAGTGTCGGATTTTTTGCGGCAGTTAGTGTCGGATTTTTGTTGGGTGAGCCAAGTCAACAGTGTCGGGTTTTGCAAGCAGTTAGTGTCGGATTTCTGTTTGTGCGAGTCGGGTTGTGTGCGATCCAATTCCAAAGAATCGGGCTGGCTGTTAGTGTCTGATCGCACCTGAGATCCGACACTTCTTGATTCTAAAATGCGACACTTTTTGACACTAAAATCCGACACTTTCATATGACGCGGGAATCGGACACTTCTGAGGCACCTGGATTTATCGTTTGGATTTGGGGAGCAGTGTCATTACAGCAAGGCGTATATATTCAATGAGCATTGTCGGATTCAGGTGTTAAATATGTGTCGGGATATTGGATTAGGTTTGTGCCCTGCAGTTTTTGGTGCGGTTGCTATTTGTTGGAGCCATGTTCAAGAACTGATTGCGTTCATTTTGCTCCAAGCTAGTTTGCTCGGGGGAACACGCTTTTGTCGCACGACATGCCGAAGCGGAAATCTAAAGGAGGAGACGGTGGGGCCAGCGCAAAGGCCAAGGTGTCTAAGTTGGACGCAGAGTCTCACCCACATGTTGCGAAGATGACAGATTGGCTTTCTGGCTGGAACTTGATCTTGTATACGTGAGTTACGACCTGTAACTAGTTGTGTTTACATTGGCGTGACGCGCCGGGTGTAGGAAGCGAGAATGACATTCAGGCTGCTGACGAAGGTCTTCGTTGCAGGTGGTCCAGATGCATATTTGAGCGCTCAATACGACACCAAGGACACATGAACTTTTGGTTTGTACTTTGTCAGACTTCGTGCCCTCAAGGCTCGGTTTGCTAGGCCTGTTCATCGCCAGGAGAAAATGATCGCGTTCGCAGAGTGGATTCATGCATTTTGCCCGGCGGATGCTGGGCGAGGACCTGAGACAACTACCCAAATTCACACAACGCGTCTGCTTCTTTTTGTTCTAAGATGATTGGAACGCGCAAGGCTTTCGTATGCAACTGACTACCAGAATGCGGCGTTCCTACGCCCTTTCATGCTGGCATGGCGATCAGATTCAGGCTGCAGCGGCTTCATCGAGCCTGAGCAGGCATCGCTCATGCTGGAGCTAATCCTTACTGAAGGGCCCTTGGGCTGACCTGTCCCAGTTTTGTTTTTTTGCTAACCATTGAACATTCTACCATCATTTTTGAATGCTTGGCAAGTGAGGTTTCTCACAAACCCAAACACACCGGGCATCGAGAAGTTGGCGACCACCAAGATCCCACCAGAATTTTTAGATTCAGCGTATGTCGAGCTTTCATCCTTGGACGGTGCTTTGGCTGACGCAGGGTCTCCTGATGCTTCATTGCCTTTGGGTAGAAAGTGACCGAGCACTAGTTGACTTCTTTCAACGGAGGGGACGGATTGTAGGTCGTGTGCCGTCCAACCAAGAGAGGTCAAGAGGACGCAAAGTTGAAACAGACGGACTCTCTTGGAAAAGCTTCTCCACGATGTGATGTTTCTCCCGCCCAAATTTTTTGTTGAGGGTTAACCTGCAACATTGCGACAGGCTACATTATTTGGCCTTCCTTGGGAATTAAACGCTGATAGCCTGAACTAAGGTCGCATGATTCCCCCGTTTTCAGTGGGGTATACAAAGGGATGGAAACGCGGCCTAATGCTCCTGGTCGCTCTTCATGGCATCCGCGAGCTCTCACTGGAAGATGCAATCGAACACAGCGTGAAGGCAATCGGGTCGGCTTGTTTGGGTGTTTTTTTGGGAACTTGGTTGGCAGGCGTCCTTTGGCACCATCCATGCGACGTTTGGGACATTCAAAGATGTCCGCGCTCAAGTTCATGCCAACAGAGGCGGGGACGGCGCAACTAATTTCAATAATCAATCATCTTCAGCATCTGTGCGCAGGTGTATCGCTGATGCAATCAGAGACCCGGGCAAGGCCTAACTGCTTCCATTTTAGGAGGCAGGTCTTGATCTTGGAGCGTGCTGGAGCAGGGTCTGCTGACCGCCAGTTCCAGGCTGATTCTGAATGAGATATGATGTAAGTTTGCTTTCAAGTCATGAGTTGACTTGGTGGGCCGTCGCTTGCAGGAATGGAACCAAGCCAATGCTGTGGCGAAGGCCTTCAGCATCGGCCGCGGTGAAGCCGCCGCCGTATCCAATCTGATGACCAAGATTCCGCGGGCGGCAGTGGACTTTTTGACTGAGAGCGTGCGGAGCCGCGGGATGTCCCGGTATCTCTCTCATGAAGTTCTTGGTAAGGACCTTCTCAACAGCTCATTCACAAGCGGGATCAATGGGCTGGAGCACTGGAAGGATCAGCTTCGCAACACAGACGAGCTGGATGATTGGACCCAATTGGAGCACTTTTTAGGT